CGTCATGACCATACACCAGAATTGATGGTTTGCAAGATCACCCCACTACAGCAGCAAACCCAAGAAGAGACGGCTTTGCAGTATCAGCAAAGGCCTCAGGGGGCCACTGAAGGCCAGTGAACTGTCTTGGCAGAGACCATATCGGGACATTCCCATGCCAGACAGGATGACGCAAAGACTCCAAGATTGGGGAAACCTTTGGCGCATCCGTGAAGAGGGCGCCCCGCTTCAACCACCCTCCATACTTCAACAAGCGCAAGACCAAGTTGCCAAACTAGAACTGGCTATGCGGCTACACACAGGACCCAAGGTCATCGTGGCTGAAGAAGAAATGGCTCCTTTCTTGTATGTTGACAAAGGAGTGGCAGCCAGTTGTCCACAAGCCACTCTTGGCCAAAGCCTACTTAGCGCCAGTACTTGTCCCATGGGTCAAGATGCGCCCTGACGTACGTCAAAGGCTCACGAGCCTCGGGCTCAAAGTCAATCAGAAGAAGACGGCTTTATCGCCACTGATGCAGCCACCACTCGAGCAGGCACCACTCGAGCACTTGCTGCGCACCTCCGAGAAGATGAGCCTCCCATCAAAAATATGACGAGGAATCTCGGAATTGATCATCAAGGAGGTCGTAGGAGGCGCTGTGCTGAAGAAGCGTTTCGTCAAGGCCAAACAAAGACGACCCAAGCTCCACAGCCTCAAGCTTCCAAACCTCACCACGACGCTCAGGCTCCATCGGCTCTTGCCACCCAGCTGAGACATCAAAATGGAGGGCTCCTGGACCTGGACGTCGCCTATGATGTTCACAGCGCACGCTATCAAGATCCGGGAAGACCAAGTCGTCCTCCACCACCTCAACGCCGTCCACACTTTGCTCCAGGGCTGGCCCACGGATCAGTTGCCGCGTCCAACACGCCTGGAGATCAACTCCTACGACAAGAACACCCGTCGTGGCGCACGGTGAAAGGCCCTCTGGCTGCTGCCATCATCTACCTACGTATGTGAGTGGGGATGGAACACCAACGACCTCTTCCAGTGGCACGGACCTGAATCCCAATACCGGGTTGATGGGTTGCGGCTGCTATTGGTGGAAGATCGAACACCAGCTCCTTGATGAAGGCAAGCATCAGAGGCGCCGCCGTTTTGCCAGCAGATCTTGTAAATGTCCTTGATTGGACAGTAGCACCTCAAGCAACAGCGCAAGGACAACCGCAAATACCTCCGCAGCTGGATGCAGGCTGCCATCCACTACAGGCAGGGCAAAAAGACTAAACGGTGCTCCGATTTGCCAGGTCCCAGCCACGGCCAAACACATCTTGTGGTTGCGCAAATGGCATCACGACAAACGACGTATCGTCAACCCTGATGAAGACCCTTTGTGGACGGCAGGCTGGATACCTTTGCCCCCGAACACACCCACTTGAAGGTTTTGGCTGTTGGGCTCACCTGAACATCCTTGATGAGACTACCACGTTGGGTTGGGCTTTCACTCTCGATGCTGCCCCTTCAACCTATGATCAGCGCAGTCAGGCTTGGGTATTTTGGCCTTTGTTTGCGCAGCCATCACTCCGCCCACACCCCACACCAAGGCCCGTGCACTCTTTGCAGGCCTTGCTGGGCACACACACAGGGCTCTGTCCGAGTCGTCGCGCAGCTTGTCAGTGCCCCAGAAACATAGACTCACAGGCCAACAAACGACAAGGCTTGAAGAGCTCACAGACCAGGACAACCAGCGCATCAAAGTCTTTTATGTGAACAAGAACGCCAGCGCCCCGGAAGAGAACCGCATCTCCAACGCCGGCAACGTGATGCAGGTCTCACTGCTCGGGAACGGGCCCAAGAAGATTGGCAAAAAACCTTAGACGAGTACCATGAGGCCATCTACCAGCATGCAATCAACCGCCTGAAGCGCGTCTACGATGACCCTGCCCATTACACTCACAGCAAGGCGCCCCGTCATCAGGGAAGAAGACCAAACAGTACAAGAAGCAGCTCATTCGGACCTGCGCCAAGCCGTGGCAGGACACCAAACACCGCCTCACCGCAGTGGGTACCAACGCACAGCTTGTCACCAAGGCCTTGCCCACGCCTTCTTCATGCTCCTGAGCCTGGCCAGCTGAGAACCCAACGCCGGCTGCTGGAAAAAAAAGCGCGACCGCGCCCAGGTCATCAAGGACCTTCTTCAACTCCAAGAGGAACAGCCACCAACACAAGAGATGCATCTTTTCGAAGAGACTGTAATCTACCTCAAGTGCACCCGCTGTGCAGGCCCCCTACAAACGAAACTGTGTTCCAGGACTTTGTCCAAGGGAGCTACGTCAATGAGAAGTTTGGTGACCATGGAGCGCATCCCACTCACCCATTGTGGAGGTTGGGCCATCGGATCAGCTGCGCATCTTGTGGCATCCAAGCCACCTGTGACAAGGAGAACAGACTTGTCATCACCGCCAATTTGAAGAAGCCTTGGAGGTGCGGCCACACGAGGCTCCCCTGACATCAAGACCCTCTTTGGCAGCAAACCGGCCAAAATGGCCCACGCACACCTCTAGGAAAAATACACGCGTACATACATTGACATACATACATACATACATACATACTTCCTTCCTTCCTTCCTTGCTTGCTTGCTTGCGTGCGTGCTTGCTTGCTTGCTTGCTTGCTTGCTTGCTTGCTTGCTTGCTTGCTTGC